AAAAAAAAAAAAAAAAGAATAGACAATGAAGTCCTTAAAAAGAGTACAAAAGTGGCCGGAGTTTCCTCTCTTGCATGTGAATGTGATTTGACTGTTTACAGTAAAAGAAAATAAAATTGAATGGCAGGAACACTCATAAAGACCACACCTCTAAAAATCTTAGAACACTCATAAAGACCCACCTCTAAAATAAAGACTAGGAGCTCTAAAATCCGCAGTGATGACTCAGCGTCCATAGCACAGGGGTTATGGTGCCAGCCACACACACTGAGGTTGGCGGGTTCGAACCCAGCCCAGGCCAGCTAAACAATGACAACTGCAACAAAAAATAGCCTGGCCTTGTGGTGGGTTACCTGGGAGGGTGAGGTAAGAGAATTGCTTAAGCCCAAGAGTTTGAGGTTGCTGTGAGCTGTGACACTGTGGTACTCTACTGAGGGCGACATAGTGAGATACTGTCTCAAAAAAATAAAAACAGAAAAATCCACAGTGATAACAAAGCAGTATTCTTGACTTGTGCAAAATTGGAATTGTATAAGATCTTTTGGAATAAAAAAAATTGCATGTTAAGTAATCAGTGCCTTGGTGCTGGACCTGCCTTACAGAGGATGAGTTTAACACAAGGCTTTCATTCCTGGTATTTTGGCCCAGATTTCTTTTTCTTTTTCCATGGATTTGATGTGCTTTATGTGTTGCTCCTCATTGACTTTTGGAAAGTTTGCTATATTGGGGTCCATTAGAAAGCAGCTATCTCACTGACTAAAAAAATTATCAATTATTCTTTTCTTCCTCTGTTCTGTTAGTGATGCACCTCTGGACCTAAAGATTAAAGCCAGTATGATTTCGGATATGTTCACAGTTGTAGGTGAGTAGTATTTTCTGGCCTGGACTCACAAAAATTAACCAGAGCATCCATTTTGTCAGACTCCATATGCATTGCCAATTGGCAGTTCCTAACCCATGCTTTGAATGTTTTGTACTAAAAAATTATATTTTCAGGGAAATGTTTATATGTTTCTACTCCCCCTGGCTCCATCCTGTCCTGAGGCTGAACCACAGCTAAGGCTGAGACCTAGGGCACAGGAATTATGAGCTGTGGAGGAGAATTAAGCAAGGATCTGGAGAAAGTATATTTTTCTCAGAGCTGGGAAAATGAAACCCACTGACGAAACCTTGTTATAAAAGGAGACTGGCTATATTTCTCTGAGACAGTCTCTGCTGGTCTCAACGTGATCTCTTCTGTGGTAGTTACAGCCATAGCAGCCTAAGGAGGAAATCCCGTTTTAAGTAGATAAGCCAAAACTCTGAAAGGGACATGTGCAGACAGGTGGGTATGTTGAACATTTGTTGGTTTTTTTGAGTACTACAAAAAGACATAATAAAATTTATTTGAGGTGAACTAGTACCTGATGTACCAGCAAATTTTGTAAAACTTAGCTAACTCTATTCTCCTTGGATGAGAATATGCTTCATTTTAGGAAGTAAGTGAAATTAGCCAAAGTTCTATTTTAAAAAAATAATCTACAAAGCCCATTTTAAAAATTGCCAGTAGACCACTTTCTCCAGTTCTAAAAGTAGATCATATAACAGGACAAGACTGTTCACTTGCTTTTGGATTCTCCCTGTAAAAACATCATTTTCCAGTCATTATCTAGGAAGTTACTTTAAAATGACTTGTTTTTATTAACAACCATGTGTTTTAAAATGGTGATTTATACATTTATTCTGAGGTTCATCAAAAGTCCACTACATCTCTTTCTCAATCAGAATCACGTTTTACCTATACAACCAGCGAGGTTGATTTATCTGCATATTTTTTTCTTGTTCTCTCCAGTTATGGTGGTTTAAAGTTTAAGCAGATTGTATGTATGGGAGAGTTGCACAGAGTCCTCTCGGGGATGGATCTCTGTAATATTTATGACCGTGAAACTGAGTCTGTAAACCTAAGGAAAAGGTGCGGCCAAACCTGCTAATTTCTTAGAACATAGCACGTTTTAACGTTCCCCATTCCCCATTCAGGATTTGTGTGCCAAGATCCTGCCCAGCGGGCATCAACGCGGACAATTTATCCCAGCTTTGAGTCTTCCAGGAGAAACCCTTTCCAGAAATCTCAGGTAAGCAAATTCAGCAGCAGAAAGCCTCAAAAGAGGCTTACTTGGAAGTGGCAGCTGATACATCTAAGGGAGCTGAAGCTCTGGGGCTATGAGGTCATTCAGAGCAGGAGAATTTGGGGATCAGACAGCAGGCAGTTATATTCACTGTGGCTAATAGCTGTGCTTTCCAACAGACTTACTTTCTGTTTTTTTTTTTTTTATTTCTTTTCTTTTTTTAATCTTTCCTTTTTCCATTTTCTCTCCTTTTAAGAAGCACCTTTCTCCCCCTCAGATTGATACGCTTATAAACAAAGCACAGAGATGGAACCTACCAAATCCTTAGTCATTACTGCTTCTTTTGATCTTCAGAATAGCTTCGTAAAGATGATACTTCATTGAAAGTGTCTTCTGTACAGCGGATTCTCTTGCAAAAGCCCCTCCATAATCATGAGTTGATTGAGGCTAAATGAGATGGATGCCTAAAGAAAGTAATGCATCTCTGAAAAATGATTCGATCAAGCATTGCTTCAGTCTTGTGTACCCTGCATGTTTGGTCCAGTTAAATCAATCAGCTAATCCTTCTGTTTCCTTAATTTTATCATCTTATCAGTCCTAGCCTCTTTTGACCCTGCTTGTTTCCACTTCTATATCCTTGCCTTTAACATTTCTTCTTAAATGATCCACCTTCCTCCTCTCTTCCCATCTGGTTTAATTACTTTGCCTGCTCAGGAGTTTTGGAGATCTTTTCTTACTAAATCCATTCTGCTCTTTTATGACCTTTAATTTTCATTTCAGCATTATTTATTTGTTCTATATTCCATTGTTTTGCATTCATTGATTTGCTGCTTTTAAACTGTTTGGTACTCCTCTGCTGGATTGTAAGCTCTTTGAAGGCATAAACAGCTTCTTTTCCTCCCTCCTTTCTTTTCCCTTCTCCTTTCCTTTATCCCTTTTTCACCTCCTTTTTCACTGTAGCCTTTACTCCCCTTTTTCCTCCCATCTTCATCTTCTTGTTCCTTTTGCTTGCCTTTAGAGTAGTCCTCTTTCTGTTTGCCAAGCTCATATATTATTATTAATTCAGACAGTTTTTCATTAGAACAGGGTTTTTGAACTCAAAACACCTGTGGGTTCTACATGCAATTTAAATGAGTAAAGAGGGACAGGTGTAATAATGCTAAGAGTGATGTGACTAAGGTAAGCTGGAGTGTGCATACTTCATCTAAAGAGGCAGTTGTTTTGCTAATGTTTTCTAGCTGATCACTGCCATGCATAAGTATGGGCCAAGTATGTGAGATCTTCCTCTTGTCAGGAGAAGTCAGAAATCTTACTTTTAAATATTGTCAGATAGTTCATTTAAATAAAAAAACTTTACAGGCCAAACATACTAGCATTGCTCCAGTCTTTGGGATTAAGTCTATGGTCTGCCTGTCTATGACCCCCGTGCTCTAGGGTGATTGGCTAATTAGTGTTAGGATGTGGAACAGCATGTACTATATTTTAAGAGGTATCATATTGGATTAGAAATGAAATCAGGAAACAGGGATGTACTTGATCAGTGCATCAACACAGATCAAAAGATTTTCTTTAATTTTTAATAAGAAAAAGTAGAGGATTAACCTAGGTGCAATAGAAAAATATGATCTAGGTAAATTGTTTGCAAATTCCCCTGCAAATTGTTTCCTGCAGTATCTGTGGCAAATGCTGCAGTATTGATTGTGTATAAAGTATCATCAATGTCTGTGTGCAGCTTTGACACAATTTCTGCCAAGTTTCACTTCTAGAGCTGTGTGCCAACTTAGATGAATTGATCCTTTTGTTACCTTTCTGTCAGCTTTTGTTGGCAGATCTTGGCAGACTATAGATAATCTATTGGACACTTGTTTTGCTAAATGCCAGTGGGCATTGGCATGATTTCATGTGTAAGCAGCCCACAAGACACTTACATGCAGGCAAAAGAACTATATAGATCATTTGTGTCTGCTGTGTCAAACAAACTTGTCAGGTGGACTAGTTAACTTCAGGATTGTCAGTATCTGGTGGTAGGATTGTTCCCTTTGTGATGAGAAGTAGAAGTTGGAATACATTGTATATGGCATAGGAGGAAGCAAGGTCATTTAAATGAGTAAACAGGGGCAGGTGTAATAATGCTAAGAGTGATGTGATTAAGGTAGACTGGAGTGTGCACACTGACTTTAACTTTAATTTTCCAACCCCAAAGTATAGGGCTTTTGCTTTTGGTCTCTGCATGGACATTGTTTTTTCCTTTTTATATGTCATAGATGTAGGAGATGGAAAGTGTAGGCATGTTAGGAGAAGATGAGGCTTTATTCCATTTTTCTGTCTTTTATAGCGTCCAGTATCTGCACAGTTTCAGTCATCAAACGCCAAACAGGTAAGTTTTGGATCATTTGGAGATTTAATTCAAATTCTGTTTCCATCCCTAAATGGAGAGCCTTTTAGGGTAGTTTTTCATGGTACACATTTTATTGTACCTGCTTTGCATAGTTTAATCACATAAGTGAATAAAAATAAATGCATAGATGTCTTCTTGGTTATAAAAGAGTAGAGGATGCAGGAATTTAGGAATCCTCTTTTCCCATCATGTTTATGCTGTGATAGAGACCTTTGAATTTGAATGGTGAATAGGGAATAGAGGCAGGCATATCTGTCACTTGGACCACAATATTCCAGAGAGGAAATATTACAGTTCACAAATGGATTCTGTTTTGCTCAGGCATCATATGAGACAAACCATTACCAGTGGCTAAATATTGGGTGTTGAGCTGTGTTTGAGTTTCTTAACAGATAATACTTCATATATCTATAAATATATGAATAAACATATATTCACAGTTTATGAATTTTAGAAACTCTGTCTTAATTAATGTCTCAGATGCTTCCTTTAAAATAAAAACAAACATCTTTTCTTTTTGAATGGTCAGCATTTGCTCTGTTACTGTTCTTGTTAGTATTTGAGGTTAATTATCTTTTTCTTCTACACAGACTTTAAAAAACGTCTTTGTAGTCATAGGCTAGTGATGGGGATTGTGTTCCTGCTGTTTGATGATTTAGTATGAGGGATATAGATGTAAATGTATCACTGGAACTATTAGTTATTTAGCAGAAATCTCCAGTATATTTATTTTGGCATTTGTACTCTCTGTGTAGTTTCTGGCAATCTTGGAAGCTTGAGTTGTAACTTTCTTAGCTACTGTTTCTGATAAAGTGATTTATATGGTTTATATGACTCCATAAATGAAAGGAAGTGTTACTGGTTGCCTTGTGTAGTATTTGGTAACTGGTTAGTGGGCTTCTGTAATATGAATTTTGGTTTTTAGTTGGTAGAGTTCAAAGCTCAGTAACATGATATGCTTTGTGATTACTAAATACCTAAGTGTGCCAGCTGCTATCCATGGCAAAAACCAAAACAAAACAAGGCTATTTACTTGAAAGAGCTTATATTCTAATATTCCCTGAACTGGTCTAACTTGGAGGAGAATAGGAAAGGAGTGCTCTTTAAGAGCTCAAACAGACTTTGAGTTTGACTCCGAAAAAATGTCTTTGATATGCAAATTTTATCCTAATTTCTCTTAATACAGTTTAATTCTGTTGCATCTAGATGCATTGCTTGAGTTGCCATAGGTTACAGTAGGCTTGTTGAAGAGCAAGGCCTCTTTTTAGTAGTTATATGTTTGAACTTGCTTGCTTGACACAAAACCTTCCTGGTTTTATTTAGCCACCTTTATGCACGTTGGATTCTTAAAGTATTCTGCTTTGTCATTGTCTTTTTGTTAATGTAGTACTCTTAACTCCACGGTGGTTTAAACCATCAGAGCTAAGATAAGAAAGGAAAAGAGAAGAAATTCCCTCTTCTGACTGCTTACATTGCCAAGTTTTCTTTTTCTATTGTAAGAATGTGGATTCTTTTACTTCTTTGCCCTTTTTCCGCTTTTCCCTTTTTAATCTGTTTTATCTATACTTCTCCCCTCCCTTGAATGTCTGTGGTTCAAATTTTCCACCTACCAGAAATTGTATTGTATTATATTGTGGAAAGAACATGGACTTTAGAGTCATACAGACCTGAATTTAAATTTGATTTCTGTCAATCACTGTTCGACCTTGAGCAAGGCCCCCTACCTCTCTCAGGCTCAGCTTCTACATCTGCCAAATGGGGATGATACAATATACATGGAATAATGGGGAAAAGGAAGTGATAACACATAGGTAAAATATTCAGGGTAGTGCTGGACATGTAGTTTAGACTTAGAAAATTCAGTCACCTTCACACTTTTAAATCCTAGGATTCAATTTTCCTTTTCCCATTGTCATTATCTGGTATTATTTTGATGTTCATCTATTTGTAGTCATGTTTTTCGTATGTGCCATCATCCACAAATGCTGTTTTATTTATTTGCTTATTTCTCCTTCTAGATGTTAATGAAGATTCTAAATAATGCTTAATCAATAAGTATCCTGGAAATCACTTCCTAACTTGATTCACTGCTATTTATCTTATTTTACAGTTATGTTTTTAAACTGTTTTTAGTTTTTGTCAATGTATTATAGTCATTATATCATGGCATTAACCCCTGATTAGAAATATAATTTGGAATCAGAATTTTATGAAATTTTTCATATGCTTCTCTAAAGTCCAACAACATTAAAATATATTTGCTTTAGTCTTCTTTTTTGTATTTTTGTCCCCCAAATAAAACCTTTAAAGCATTTTTTAAAAGAAATCATGCAGCCTCCATACTATTCTTCATGAGCCCATTATACTCTAAATGTTTATGGATTTTTTTCCTTTTAATATTTGTTCCATTATTTTACTAGGGATTCGAGTTAGACTTACCAGGCGGTAATCACCAGGAGCACACTTCTTACATTTTTGAAGATTGGTACCTCATTTGTTTTTTTCTAATCCTCTGGTACCTCCTCAGTTCTTCATGATTTTTCAAACATGATTGTAAGTCGTTTTGGTAAGTTTTTTTTTTTTTTTTTATTAAAGCCAGTTCCCTTAATAATAAGATGCATGTCTCTTAGACCTGCTGACTTACATTTATTCTAAATTTCCAGATGTTGCATCTCTCTTTTTTTTTTTTACTGTAACAGAAGGCTACTTGCTTACTTCCTCCCCCCACCCCAATTTTAAAGTGTACTTCTGGTTATCATTATATTTAAACCTTGCTTAGAAACCATTTTTGCCATTTCTTGATATGTGGCTATTTTGACTTTTTTCCTTTCAGTTAGCATTAATTTATTTCACTTTTTAAACTTAATTTTAACTTTTATGTTCTAGATGACAAGATGCATCACGTGTAAATTGAGCTATTTCTAATTTCTTTACTCTAAACTTCATAAAACTGCATTGGTAAATTTTTATTCTTTGCTTCTATTCCCTGTCAAATAGATTTATTTTTGCTCCTCAATTATGATGTCTTTGAGGATCTCTTATCTTTTTTCCTATTCTGTATCTTGTCAGATTCTTCTCATCGTTGGTACTTGCCAACTTTCTTTAGGCTGAGAATCATTTTTCTGATTCAACATCTGTTTCATACTGCTTTGAGTAGGGAGTGGTGGTTCCAGTCTTAGTGATTTTACATTCTCAGATCTTCCTTAGATAGGCAAAGGTTTCTTCTCTGGGTAGATTTCTGAATCATAAGTTGTACTAATGACAATTTAATATCTTTGATGCACATTGTGTGGCAGAATTCTTATCTTGACAGCAATTTGAAAGTTTATAATTTATCTGATAGTTTAATTCATATGTTATCTAACCAGAGGCGATTATTCTCTTTAAGTTCAGAGGAGCCTTATTTCCTTAGTGCATTGGGAATCTACATGGGATTATGTAGATTTATTATTATATCTGCCATTCTCAGACTGTAACTGATGTGTCCAAAGTCAAAACCATAGACTGGCTTGCATTTTTACTGTTTTGCTCTTGTTTTTGATAGTTCTGATAGCCTTTAAAACCAGTCCAATTCCTTTTTTACCTTTGTCTTGCTTTTAATCTCCAAGTGTGTCTCCTTGGCTCTCCTACATATTTCTTTTATCCCCCTCCTCCTCATCCTTTTTTCTACCCATTCCTTTTTCTCTGCCTTTTCTTTTCACTTGTGTCTGTAATTCAGGTCACATCCCTTCCTTTCTCAAACCTCCTGGATACACCAGCCAAAAGCTTATGCCTGAATTCCTGCATACTTCCCCCCCACCCCAAACAGCACATACATTTACACAGTAGCGAGAGCTAGAATTGTGGGCTGATAACAAAGGAGTGATTATGTATGGGAGATAACTCTTTGAAAGTGATGGCAGAGAAATTGAAGAGTTTGGGGGTACTAATTCATTTTTTACAAGGACCACGTAGGAGAAGAAGAAGGTTGCAACACTTATCTCTCTTTCTAGAAGCCAAGATTATTAAAAGCCATTTTTCAAAACCCACAAAAATTGGAGGTTCACATGAGATGCCATTAAGTAGTGATTTGACTTGTGTTCTTATAAATATAGCCATGTAGTAAAACAATTGTAATATGTAATAACTTTTTCTTACAATATTTTTCATTAACCTTGTAATACAGATTTTAGTTTATCAACATAATTAAACAACGTACTTTCTATTCTAAAATGCTGAATAAAAAATCTTTATTTTTATTATGTTATTTAAATGAATGCTTATTTCTTACTCTCCTCATATAATTTAAGGCAACTGTAAAGTACTTTTATATAGCATCAAGTGAGAAGGCTACTTGACTTAGGAGGATTTACTGCTAATGGCTTTATGGTCAGGGATTGCTGTCATGTGTGAACTAGATAAGTTTTCTTTGGCAAATATTAGGTAGTGTGTGGATGTTTAATATTTTGGCTTTTCCAAATTATATATAAATAGTATTCATACTTTTTATTACTTATATTGGTTTCCTTTCTAAATCTTTTTTTCTTTTTATTTTGTTTTTGAGACAGAGTCTCACTTTGTCACGATTGAGAATAGCATGGTGTCATAGCTCACAGCAACTTCAAACTCCTGGGCTCAAGTAATCCTGTTGCCTCAGCCTCCCAGGTAGCTGGGACTACAGGTGCCTGCTACAATGCCTGGCTTTCTTTTTAGAGACGAGGTCTCACTCTTGCTCAGGCTGGTCTCCAACTCCTGAGCTCAGGCAATCCACCAGTCTTGGCCTCCCAGAGTGCTAGGATTACAGGCATGAGCAACCCCCACCAGCCATCCTTTCTAAAGCTTTAAACTTTCCCCTAGAAACCCTCTCATTTCAATACATACTGCTTAATGTATTTCCAGAGATTGAAGGGAGTTAAAATATTTCCCAAAATTCTGTTGTAAATTTTAATTTTAACCATGATTGATCTGTATGTCCCTACTTTCATTCATTTATTTATTCATTCAGCAAATATTTATCTACTCTATGCCAAGTACAATGTACTGTTTTAGATGTTGAAGATACCACAGTAAAAGCTATACAGATGAAAGTTCTTGTACTCTGCATATTGCTTACATCTACCTGTTGATTTCTCTGGTTTTCTTTATATAGATATCTCATCTTGGACTCGCCGTCAGACAATTTATTTTTTATAGCTCCCATGCTAGGTTTGAAGATTAGTGTGTGTTGGTATCCCTTGCGTTCAAAGGTAAAATCATTACAAAGTCTGACAGTTAAGTTCATGAACTTGCCACTATTTGCTTATGTTAGCGGCACTGTACAAACTACTCAGTAAGGTTTCATAACCTGGGTATATCAGTGTCTCACAGGTGTGTTTATGTTGATGTGTGGTGGTATCTTGATGAGTGGTGTTCATTATTGTTACGTGTTTTTGTGTGTCATCACAAGCATGTTGGAGTGTGAATTAGAGCCCTGAACAAATATTAAATTTCTTGTTGAACTTGGGAAAAGTAGAAGTGAAGTGAGGGACATGTTAGTCCAAGTTTATGGAGATAATGCCATCAAGAAAATGGCAGTGTACAAATAGATTAAACGTTTTTCTAAGGGGAGAGAAAGTGTCACTGATGAAGAGAGAGCCACGTGGCTAGTAAAGAGCAGAACTTATGAAAACATTGCAAAAATTTGTTTATTTGTGTGTCAGAATTGTTGTCTATAAGAAGTCTAGCAGACTCAGTAAATATTGATAGAGAAACAGTTAGGAAAATCTTAACTGAAAATCTTGGCATGAGAAAGATGTGTGCAAAAATGGTCCTGAAGGAGCTCACCGATGAACAAAAGCAAAGGAGAGTTGAAGATTGCCAAGACCTTTTAGAGAGACAAGATGAGGTTTGGGGCCATGCTGTCACTGGTGATCAAACATGGGTGTACCTGTACAACCCTGAAACAAAGCATCGAGTGCCCAGTGGAAGTCAGCCAATTCTCTACAACCAAAAAATTTCTGTCAGTTCAAATCAAGAGTGAAAATGATGTTGCTAACCCTTTTTGATATCAGTGGGATTCTTCATGATGAATTTGTGCCACTTGGACAAACAGTTAACCAAGTTTCCTCTTTGGAAATGCTGAGAAGGCTGCATTAAGAAGTAAGACAAAAACAACCTGAACTTTTTGCTCCTGCATCATGACAATGTACCTGTCCACACAGCACTGTCTGTGAGGGAGTTTTTAGTTAGTAAGCAAATAACTGTATTAGAACACCCTCTCTCTTTACCTGTTTTGGCCCTTAGTGACCTTTTTCTTTACCCAAAGATAAAAGAAATATTGAAAGGAAAACATTTTGATGACATTCATAACTTCAAGGGTAATCCATGGGTCATTATGAAAGTTTTGAGATACATAAAATTCAAGAATTGCAGATGGAAATAAATGAAGTCTTCCCAACAACACTTATAAGCCGAATAATTTGAAACTTGCATAGGTGAATCAGAAAGCATACTGTTGACTGTATTTCTTGGAAGTGAAATAATGGACCATAACAGTGTGTCCTAAAACTTTTGTAGTGACCTGTGTATTTCAACAGCTCTGATGGCCGTTCCAGAAAAAGAATTTCAAAATTGCTTTAAAGGATAGACTGGGTATTGACATTGGTGCATAGTTTCCCAAAGGTACTTTGAAGGTGACCATAGTGATACTCAGCAATGAGGTATATAACACTTTGTCTAGGATGAGTTCGCAAAATTAATTGTCAAAGTTTGTATTTGTGTATCTTAGTTTGTTTAGGCTGCTATGGCAAAATACCCCTGACTAGATGGCTTAAACAAAAGAAATTTATTTTTCACAGTTCTGAAGGCTGGGAAGTGTATGGTCAAGGTGCTGGCAAGGTAGATTTCATTCTGAAGCTTCTTTTATAGGTTTGTAGGTGAGGGGGAGCAGGCAGAAAGAAGGGGAAATTAAGCTTTCTAGTGTCTCTTTTAAGGGCACACTGTTTTCATTAGACCTGGGTCCCACCTTCATGACCTTATCTAACCCAAATTAACCTTCCAAAAGCACCATCTGTGAGTGTTGTGAATTTTGGAGAGACACAAATGTTCACCCATAACACTGAGTCCTGTTGAAAAGGCCAAAAATTAATTACCAAAATGCCTTTCTATAGGTAGTCTACACATAAAGACAAACGAACAATAGCTCCTGAAAACTGGGCTTCTTCTCTTTGGTTGAAATTACTTCCAGGAATCTAGAAGACAATTTGCACCCATAGTTGGTTCTCTCTGCTTGGCAGATTTGTCTTATTTTATCTGTCACTTCATCTCTTTCAACAATAGTGTATTATCATGCTTTATACCATCTGACTTCCTTTGTTATCCCAATTTTTCTGCTTGTTATAACATTAAAATCATTTAACACATTTGTACTCAGATGACCTGCCTGATCATCATTCAGAAGCTGAAATAGCCCACATCTTCTTTTGGGACCAGTGATGAACCTGGCTGCCTTGTTGGAGTACTTCCCAGGGCCAGTCATTCTTGTCCCATGTCTCTTGAAGTCCAGCAACCACAGTGTTTCCTAAATTGTAGCCTTCTGGTCACAGCTCTTATTTACGTCACTGGTGACTCTCATCCCAATGTTTCCTCAATCAAATTCTAAAACATTACACCAACTTTTTAATTTATAGTATAATAGATTATCCCTAGGTTTTGTGTCTTATGTCTCAGTTCTCCTAACTCTCCTTCCCCAGGGCCGAAAAGAACATATTTACTAAAATAAACACACATTTCTTAATACTGTTCTATTGAGGCTCTTGGAATATTGGATGTTCCCTTAAACCAAGATTAGGACTAAGTAGTAGCTGAGAAAGTCACATGGTTCTCACTCTTACTTCCACATATTTCTCTCTCAACCCATGCTTTTCTACTTTTCTGTTTTCTCTTCGTACCTTTGCATTTACTTTCGTCTGTTTCCTAGGGTTTCAGACTAGGAGACTAATCACAGAAAATGGGCTGTGGATTTAAGTTTCAAATACTAGGAAAGATAATGATGTGAGGGAGCATACAGAGGGAATGAGGAATGATGAAAACTGCTTTTAAAAAACTTTTTGTTATTTTTATTTTCTTCTTAGCGTTCTCGTCCACTCTCTGCCAGTGATGCGGAAATGAAAAATCTTGTGGGCCCAGCCCGGGAGAAAGTGCCGGGGAAGTTAGGTGGTTCTGTGCTTGGTCTGTCAATGGAGGAGGTAAAGATAACTCCACTTCATCCCTTTGTAAGTTAACATAGGGTTCGGTGAAAATTAGTGAGTGATTCATAATATTCATGAAAAACTCATATTTAACATTGAAAAGAGCAAGACTCAAGATGAGAAATTTTTTTTCCCCCCAGGAAACATCATTTTAAATGGAATTTCTCCCTATGTATCTCTTCCATATTTTTGGGTTGTAACTCTCTTCCTTTGTACTACAGCCACATGGATTCCAGTTTTCAAAATCAGTGCTCATTTTATTGATTTTTCTCTTTTTCCACCTAGATCAAAGTTTTACGGAGGGTGAAGGAAGAGAATGATCGGCGAGGTGGATTTATTCGCATATTTCCTACATCTGAGACGTGGGAAATATATGGGTGAGGTGACTACCTTTTTTAAAAATCTGTACCTTATGCCTGTAGATGAGATTAACTGTGCACACTGTATATTGCTCCTCACATGATACTTTCTTGTTTTTTGTTATTTATAATAAAATGTATAATTACCCAACCCAAGAACTAGATCATTAACAAATAGTACTTTAATCTACCTCTATATAATTCGTCTCTTTTTTTAAGTCCCCTAGTTGGCTACTTTCATCCTAACTAACTCCCCAGTCCAGGGTTAGATAGTGTTCTAAACTTTGTGTTTATCATTACCTTGATTTGAAAAATTGTCTTTCTTTTGTTTTTTGGTGGAGGAAGAGTTGTTTTTTTGAGACAGAGTCTCAAGCTGTCGACCCTGGGTAGAGTTCCGTGGCGTCATAGCTCACAGCAACCTCCAACACTTAGGCTCAAGTGATCCTCCTGCCTCAGTTTTTCTGTTTTTAGTAGAGAAGGGGACTTGCTTTTGCTCAAGCTTGTCTCGAACTAATGAGCTCAAGCTAGCCACCTACCTTGGCCTCCCAGAGTGGTAGGATTACAGGCGTGAGCTACCATGCCAGCCCATATGTTGGCATCTTTTTTGAAAATTAATTGGAATATATACGTGTAGGTCTATTACTCAACTCTTTTCATAGTTTCATTGATGTATATGTCTGTCTGGATTGCTCTAGCTTTGTACTAAGCCTTAAAATTAGATAGTGTGTCTTCCAACTTTGTTCTTTTTAAAAATTATTTTGACTATTTTGTGTTCTTTGTGTTTCCAAAGGAATTTTATAATTCCTTTCTCAGTTTCCACTCGAAAGCCTACTTACTAGTTTTTGGTTGGGATTGCATTGAGTATACAGATTAGTTTTGGGAGAGTAGAGATCTTAACAGTATTGAGTTGAGTTTTCCAATCCATATGAATAGGTATGTCCCTCCATTCATTTAGGTCTTCTTTAATTTCTTGTAATTTTTTTTTTGTAATTTCTTTTTTTATATTTTAATTTTTTTGTTGCAACCCCCAGTGTCTCAGTATCTAACCGTGTTAAGTAGTTTTCAGTATAAAAGTCTTAAACATGTTTTGCTAAATTTATCACTTAGTATTTCATACTTTTGCCTGATAATGTAAGTAGTATATTTTAACAGTTTTATTGAGGTATAGTTGATATACAATAAGCTGTACATATTTAAATATATATGTATATTTGTATATATCTGTGAAACTACTACCGCTATCAAGATAGTGAACATCACCTTCAAAACTTGCCTCATACCGCTTTGTAATTGTTCTCTCTTGCCCTCTCTGCCCTATCCAGTCCCAAGGCAGCTACTAATCTGTTTTCTGTAGCTGAAGATTCATCTGCATTTCCTAGCATTTTATATAAATAGAATTGTACAGCATATTTTCTTGTTTGGCTTTTTTCACTCAGTGTAATTGTCTTTAGATTCATACATGAAATAGCATGTATAAGTGGTTTGATTCCTTTTTATTGCTGAGTAATATTCTATTATAGGCACAAATAATTATTTATCTTTTCATCAATTAATGGATATTTGGATCATTTGTAAGCTTCTGTAAACATTTATGTATCAATTTTTGCATGAACGTGTGCTTTAATTTCTCTTGGGTAAAGATGTACTTGTTGGGGCAGGTGCAGTGGAGGACCCTTTTAGTTACTCTGGAGGCTGAGATGGGAGGATCTTTTAAGCCCAGAAATACCAAGTCCAGCCTGAGCAACATAATGAGACTCCAATCTTAAATCTACTTGTGCAATGACTGGATCATATTGTTGTATATGCCAAACTTTTTTAGAAACAGCCATACAGTTTTCTAAAGTGGTTGCATTATTTTACATTCATGTCACAAGTATATAGTTGGTGTGGTCAGTCTTTTAATTTTAGCCCCTAGGAGGTGTGTAGTCATATTTTATTCTGGTTTAATTTTATCTCTTCAATTGTCTTAAAATTCTGCAGGATTGTTATTTATTGTGTATTTTGTAGATTTCACTATTGAAGCCATCTGGACCTAGAGTTCAATTTCAGTTTCTTTAAGAGACACGGGGTTTTTCACGTTATCTATTTCTACTTGAATGGCTTTTTTGTCTTTTAAGAAATTTGTTCATTTCATCTATGTTTTCATATTCATATGCATAAAATTATAGCATTCCCTTATCCTTTTACTCATCTCATTTCTGATATTGGTAATTTGTTTTTTCTCTGTTTTTTTATACTGGTATAAAAAAAGATTGATCAATTGGCCAGAGGTTGATTAATTTTATTGATCTTCTCAGAGAATCAGCTTTTGGTTCCATTGTTTTTTGTTTTCTTTCCTCTAGTTATAGTTCACTGATTTCTACTCTAATCTTTATGTTTTTCTTCTATGTAACTTTGGTATTCATTCACTCTTCCAGTTTTCTTAGGTGGGAGCTGAGGTTCTTGATTTGAGACTTCTTTTTTTTCCTGTATAAGTGTTTAATGCTACAATTTTTTACTAAGTACTGCTTTAGTGATATTCTGCATATTTTGATTGTTGTGGTATTATTTTCATTCTATTTATAATACTTTTTAATTTCTCTGTTGATTATCTTTCTGCCCATGGGTTACTTAGAAGTTTTTTATTTAGTTTTCAAATGTTTGGGGTCTTTCCAGAGAATCTTACTGATTTTCAGTTTACTTGTATTGAGGTCAGAGAACATACTTTGTGTGACTTCAGTCTTTTTAAATTTACTAACATTTGGCGTATGGCCCAGAATATGGTTTATATTGGTAAATGTAACATGTACATTGAAGAAAATGTATATGCTGCTCTTTTGGAGTCTGTAACTGTTTATTAGGTCATGGAGTTTGAGAGTGTTGTTTAGATCATCTCTATTTACTAATTTTGTCAATTATTGAGAGACTGGTATTGAAAGCGTCAATTGTAATTGTGAACTTTAAATTTCTCCTTTTGGTTCTGTCAGTTTTGCTTCTGATGTATTTTGGAACTCTGTTATTTGGTATGTATGCTTTAGGTTCATTGTGTCTTTTTTTCCCCCCCCAAGGTAAAGGGGATGTTTATTGTAGGTCTCATGGTATCTGGAAAGCTCTTGGCACCAAGGTTACTTTTTTTCCTTTCCAACTGGCCTCCTCGGGCGGCGCCTGTGGCTCAGTGAGTAGGACACTGACCCCATATACCGAGGGTGGAGGGTTCAAACCCGGCCCCGGCCAAACCACAACTAAAAATAGCCAGGTGTTGTGGCAGGCACCTGCAGTCCCAGCTACTTGGGAGGCTGAGGCAGGAGGATCTCCTAAGCCCAGGAGTTGGAGGTTGCTGTGAGCTGTGATTCCATAGCACTCTACCAAGGGCAATAAAGTGAGACTCTCTCTAAAAAAAAAAAAAAAAAACCCAACTGTTCTCCTCTATCCTCTGCTCCAGGCTCTCCTCATTGCAGACCTGCCCCTTCTGCAAGCTTACCTGGTTTCCCATGGCCCAGAGTCACCTTCTGAACCTATGTGACCTATCTGCTCCATGGCTCACCTACTCACTATCCCAATTCTCAGGTTCTGAAAGAAGAGCCTGATTGGTCCAATCCTGCAAAGCCAAAAGGAATTACTTTGGGGGGGGATTTCTTTCCCTGTTGACAATGAACTTCTCATTTTGTGAAAGTTCGTTGTATAGTTTTATCCTTTGTGCCACTGTGGAAGCTAAGTTTTGACCTTTAGCTTCTGTGTGTTTACTTTGCTGGTGGTCCATAGTGGTCATCAGTGTTGAGAATAGGTCTAAGTATTTCCTGTAGAACTGGTCTTGTTGGGGCAAATTTCCTCAGTTCTTGTATATCTGCAAAAGATTTGATTTCTCTATCAATTTTGAAGCTTAGTTTAGCAGGATACAGAATTCTGGGCTGAAAATTGTTTTATGTAGAGTGTTCAAGGTGGATGACCATGCTCCTCTGCCTTGGAAGGTTTTAGTTGAAAGGTCTACTGTCATCCTAACGGCTCTGCCTCTGTAAGTCAGTTGGTGCTTACTCCTAGCTGCTTGGAGAATTTTTTTCTGATCTTGACTTTGGACAGGTTCATTACAATGTGTCTTGGAGAGGCTCTGTTTGACTTGGGATGACTAGGGGTTTCATATCCATTTGAAAGGAGTGTGTCGGGGTCTTTAGTAAAACTTGGGAACTTTTCATTTATGGTAGTTTCCAATAGGGCTTCCATTCCTTTGGGACAATCTTCTTCCACTTCAGAAATCTCTATTATTTGTATATTTGAATGTTTCATGGAGTCTCGTAGTTCTCTAAGCACCTGTTCTGTTTGTTCTCTCTCTTCTTTTCTGCCTGGGTTAACTTGAAAACTTTATCCTCTAGCTCTGAGATTCTTTCTTCTCTGTGGTCTAACCCATTTTTGATACTTTCACTTCATCTTTCCATTCCCTGATTGTCTCCTTCATTTCCTTAAGCTCCACCAAATCCTTTCTGTATTCTGTCTCTTGTCTGACTTCTAGTTCTGTCTCTCTATTTTTTCATCCATTTCTTTTATTGTCTTTATCATCCATATTTTGAATTCCCTTTCTGTGAAGTCCATTAATTCTTTATAGGTGGAATCTTCTGCAGTAGCTGCCTCCTGGTTCCTGGGGTGAATTCTTCTGTTTTGGCTTTTTATGGTGCCCAGAATTTTCTGTTGGTTCCTCCTCATGTGTTCTTTCTTCTTGTTCTCCTCTTTGTCCTCCCTTTTACTTCTCTCTCTTTTTTTATTTTTTTAAATTTTGCTTTCAATTTCAACTGGCTTTCCCTCATCTTAGTTTGAAGTTTTTTGATTTTTGTTTTTTTTGTTTGTTTGTTTGTTTTCTTCCTTTAGTAATTCTCTTGCCCTTTGCCTGCCAAGTAGCTGGGACTACAGGCACCTGCCACAACGTGCAGCTTTTTTTGGTAGAGACGAGGTCTCACTCTGGCTCACTCTGGCTCAGGATGGTCTCGAACCTCTCAGCTCAGGCAGTCCACCCCCTTCGGCCTCCCACCGTACTAGGACTACAGACGTGAGCCACCACACCTGGCTCTCCTTTTTACTTCTCGCTGCCTCCTTTGTTTCAAACAGAAGTCTTTGCACTTGATGATAGTATGTTGCAATATATCGTTGAGGCACCAGGTGGTGCTGTGGATTTTTTAGGAGAGGGAGAGCACAGCCAGTAACCTCTATGATCCTTAGGCCCTTATTCCAAATTTAGTTGCTTTCAGTGATTGCCTGATTGTTCCCTCAGCATTCAGACCTTACTGTGTTGTGATCTTAAAGCTCACAAAAATCCCTCTGGAGCAGGTCTCACAATGCCTCTGGACTCTAATTCCCCTGGGGTGGGGGAATCCCTCAGCCTGTCCCGAAAGTAGAGTTCTGATTCTGGCAGGTAGAATTAAGATGGCCATGATTTAGACCCCTGCTAAGACCCTCTCAAAACCTTCCCACAATGGCAGCACCCTGGTCACCCAGACCTTCTCAGTATGGCTGCCTTGCCAGCCACCAAACCTACAGTAAGTCCACTCAACAGATAGTCAAATCTGGTGCTGTATACTATTTGAGTCTGCCTACTCTTCCAAGCTTTCCACTCAGTGCACAGCTTCCTCCAACAACTGAAAACTTTGGAAGGGCTTCCTCCTGTCCCAGACCTCTGTGGGGGGGCAGTGGAACCCAGCTGGTCTCAATCACTTGCCTAATTCATCAGATTTCCACTGCTCTGGATCATATGCTGCATCCAACTTACCACCTCCTCACTGTGCTCCCTGAGGATAAGGTTCCTGCCTCATTATGTCTTTTTGATAAATTGACTTCATTTTTTCTTTTCTTACTTTCTTTTTTTTGGGGGGAGGGAAGAGTCCCACTTTGTTGCTCTCATTAGAGTGTTGTGGCATCATAGCTCACAACAACCTCAAACTCTTGAACTTAAGCATATTCTCTTGTCTCAGCCCCCCAAGTATCTGGGACCATAGGTGCCTTCTGCAACACCCAGCTGTTTTTAGAGATGTGGTCTCACTCTAGCTCAGGCTGGTCTTGAACTTGTGAACTTGGGTAATCCACCCACCTTAGCCTCCCAGAATGCTAGGATTACAGGTGTAAGTCACCACACCTGGCCTGACTTCTTTATTGTTATGAAATAACCCCATCTCTGGTAATGTTCTTTGTTGTGAAGTCTACTTATTGGCTATTAATATCCTCTACTGCAGCTTTCTGATGACTGGTATTTGCATGGTGTATGTTTTCCATTGTTTTACCTTTCATCTTTCTGCATCTTTAGAGTTAAAGCATGTTTAAGATAATGTGTAGTTAGTGTTGAGTTGATAGTGGTGAATTCACTCAACTTACATTTGTGTGAAAAAGTCTTTTGCCTTTATGTTTAAAAAATTATTTTAACTAGTTGTAGAATTCTAGGCTGATACTTTTTCTGAAAAATAACTTTTCATCATCTTCAGGCTTGCATTTTTCTGATGAGAAGTGTGCAGCAGATTTTGTATGCACAATATCTTTTTTTTGTCAGCTGGTTTTTAAGATGATGTCTTTGTGGGTACAATGTATGTTATTTGGGTGATGAGACTCTTGTCTCAAAAAAAAAAAAAAAAGAAGTAAGAGCATTTGACCTAGTTAGGATGTTAGTTCTAAGTACAGAGCTAGAACTTAGAGGAATAAAAGAAAAAGCCAGTTTGTTTGTTTGTTGTTTATTTTATTTGAAAAACCTGGCTGTTTGTGGACAAATCTTTTTATCTTTCAGAATATACGATACTATAGTAGAGTATACTATACTATAATTACACCTTGTAGATAACCTAGAAATTCAGGAGGAAAATATTGCATGGATTTCTTCACAATTAGAAATATATCTTTTGGTATGGTTTTAAAGAATTTAAATTTTTGTACTTTCTAGAAAATATCTATTTAAAAAATTGAAAGTAGAACCCTCTGCTTCTGAATATTTCAAGGGATGGAACCCTAATTGGAGTACCTTTTCCTAAGGAATCAATACAAATAATATTGGGTTCTCTTAAGGACATCCAGTAATGATACCTGGTTTGAACCAGTAGAGAAATAAGACAAGGACTACAATAGACAAAGACCAAAATACCATCTTCTTACTGGTAAAGTCTATGTGAGGAGACTTGATGATATCTGTCTGCAAGCAAATGCATTTCCTGTTGAACTTCAGAATTAGACAGGTTTATGTTCCTATTATAGACAAGGTTGGCCTGTATGTGTGGGAGCACCTGACCCTATCTGTGAATCACTATGAAGGTTTTGAGACTGTGTTACAGTCCATTCTTTCACTTTCAAGAAACAAATCAACAGCATCCTTTCTGATTTACCCATGCAGGTTTCACCTTGCTGGCTTATCAGTGCTGCTGGGAGGGCTTCATTTGTTTCCACCTGGGTGGATTTTATGTTTCTTGATGTATATGTATTTCAAAACTTTCATAATGACCTATGTATGAGAAGTAGTCTCAAATTCCTGGGCTCAAGCAATCCTCCTGCCTTAGCCTCCCACGCAGGTGGGACTACAGATATCCTCCACCACACCTGGCTAATTTTTCTGTTTTTTATAGAGATGGGTCTTGCTCTTGCTCAGGCTGCTCACAAACTCTTGGCATCAAGTGATCCTCCTGCCTCGGCCTCCCAGAGTTCTAGGATTACAGGCCTGAGCCACTGTGCCCAGCCTTGACCTGCTTCATGAAGGGTAGATTATAATTGGCCTCTCCTTTTCTGTGAGGTATATATTCCAAGACTCCCAGTGGATGCCTGAAACTATGAATAGTAGTTTCAAGCCCTGCGCAATCAACTTTCAAACAACACAGGTTTGAACTGTGTGGATGCACCTGCATATGGATTTTCTTCTGTGTCTGCTATCCCTGTAACAATAAGACCAACACCTCCCCTTCCTCTTCCTCCTTTTGATTTTCTTAATTGTTCTTTCTAGCTTACTTTATTATAAGAATACATGAAATGGGGGAGTGGAGAGATAGAGAAAGGGAAGGGAGTGGGGGTTCACAGTGTATCCAACACCTCTTGGAGACAGGATACAATTATAAGAGGGACTTTACCTAACAAATGCAATCAGTGTAACCTCTGTACCCTCAAAGAATCCTCAACAATTAAAACAAAACAAAAAAATAAAAAAAAAAAAAAGAATACAGTATATAATACATATACAAAATATGTGTAATTGACTATTATTGGTAAAGCTTCTGGTCAACAGTAGGCTATTATTAGGTGAGTTTTGGGAGAGTCAAAAGTTGTACACAGATTTTCAATGCACAGGGTGTCAACTGTGCATATCATGTTATTCCTGTACATTCATACCTGTGATAAAGTTTAACTTATACATAGTAAGAGATGAATAACAATAACTAGTAATAAAATATAGCTGTTATAACAGTAGACTGAAATAAAAGTTATGTGAGTGTAATCTCTTGGAATTGTTCTGTACTCACCCTATTCTTCTTGTGATGATGTGAGATGCATACTGCCTGCATGATGACATGAAGTGAAGTGAATGCTGCAGGCATTGTGACGTAGCATAAGGCTTCTGTTTACTTTCGGTATCCCTGCATCTGTATAGACATCTCCTAGTGATGTCTACAGGTCTGCAGTGAATGACTTGATGTCTCTTCTTTCAGGGGATCCTTTGCTGCCGTCTTACAGGCTCAGAGCTTTCTGGCGCAGCATGCTGCTGTCAGTTGCTCATACCTTCCACCAAAAATTTAACCCCTGTCCCTCTTCACTGAGCACTTACCATGTAGTTTGAGGTGCAATAGCAAAACTGGCGCACATTTCCTTCTTCACAATTTCTTAGATTTGTTCTTATCTTGCAAAAAATTTCCCCTTAAGTCAAAAACTTTCACTTTTCCACTTAAAGGAAGCACATTATGGTTCCTCTTTGGCATGTCCAAGTGCCAGCATCGCTACTGTATGTTTTAGGGCCATAAGCAAAATAAAGCTTCCTTGAACACAAGCACTGAAATGAGATGACAGTCAATCTGATAACAAGACAGACGCTAAGTGAGTAATGAGCTAAGAGCGTCTATAGTGTGGAGACACTGGACAAAGGGATAATCCATGTCCCAGGTGGGAGGGGACAAGAGGACTTGAGATTTCATGGCATTGCTTAGGATTGTGTGTAATTTAAAGCTTGTGGATGCTTTATTTCTGGAATTTTCCATTTAATAGTTTTGGACTATGGCTGACTGTGAATAACTGAAACCTCAGATAAGGGGAGACGACTATAGATAAGTCGAGAGGATAGGGAGGAGATGTGCAGTCAGAGGCAACATGTCAGTGGGAGGGGTGTGTGGTACGAGAGAATTCTAAGGTGACTTGCCTGGCTGCACTGCATGATCAATGTTGGGCAACTGTGTGGAGAAAGTGTGAATGAATTGGTGGTACACATTTTTAAACTCTTGAAAGTTTACAAGAGAAGTCTTTGACTCCTGCAGCAGACATGAGGGAGCCATTGACAGCTCTTAGATTGAGGAATAACATGATGGAAACAGTCTTCTATCTACATTTTCATGTCCTTTTTGCATCTTCTTTTCCTAACTTTATTTGACCTCTTTTGTATATAAGCTTTTTGTGTTTAGAAAAAAAAAATCTTTCACTCTTATTTTCTGAATTTAGTATGTCACCTTTTATTACTCCAAGAAATGCTACCTTTTCTTTCTTTTTTCTAAACAAAGTCTTTTTCTTTATTATATTCTATTCATTGCTACTCTAAAATTATTTTATAATTTTAATTTGAGCAACTGTCTCTTCCTTTGCTACTTTAGAAACAGTATATATCTTTGGAAATAGCATATAAGTAACCTCTCACTTCAATGCTTGAACTAATCTTAAGAAATAACCAGTTTCCTTCTTTGTTTTTTAGGTCCTACCTTGAGCACAAGACCTCCATGAACTATATGCTGGCAACACGCCTCTTTCAGGACAGGTGGGGATTTGCTAAACTTATAAATTCGGACTATATCACAAGATTAGGAGAAAGTATATGCAGGAGAAGGAAAGAGACTTCATAAAAATCTGCATGTAAAATCTCTGATAGACAAAGCCTCCAGAAAATATGAAATAATGTCTCATTTTTCCAGAATTTATTATTAACTTTCAGCACTTTATAACATTTCCACAAACCAAAAATTAAGCCATAAAGATCTTTGCGCAATCTGCACAGATGCCCTAAACTTTTTTCTTCCAGAAAAGCCCTTAGTGCCTTGTGGGGATAAAGTTTGAACAGATACGATTATCTGTTTTTCTAGACCAAAAGAGATTAGAACTATCAGATCAGATAAAGTGAAGGGGAGGTAATTTGCAACATAAATATACAGAGACTTATAAGAAATGACAACAGATAATCTCAGTATAAGAGAAAATAGGGGGAAGTGATGGAAAACAGACATTGGCATTAAAATAACACAGCAGGCACAGACTGCTCAGTCTCACATACTTTCCTAGCCCCTGAGACATAACTACATTTGCCTTAATTGATTTCCAAAATAAGACACCCTGTTTTTTTAGAGAAACTTATATTTTGAGGCTATAGAAACTTTTTTGAAGGATTCTTAGATACTCAGATTTCAGCTATTTCTTGTAATTTCATGATCTATTATCATAAATAATAGGATTTGCAATTTCTATCTGTAAATTTGTGATAGTTACCATTGATTTAAGTAATCACATTGTAAAGCTTCTAATGAAAGAGATCTTTGGATTTACTAACAAGACATAGAATCTCAGTTCTTTATATATAATATAGAGTTTTTGAAAGGTTGCCCCTACTCCTTGAAAACTTTTACAAGGTTTCTTTATTTTTAGAGTTCAGATAGATACTTTGCCAGAATGTGTTCTGATATGTCATTTTTTGTTATTTTGGATTTGCATTGGGTGAGGCCTTTCAGTCTGAAGATTTAAGTCTTTCAACTGCAGGAAATGTTACCTTTATTTTTTCTTTTCTCTCCTTGTAGAACTCCTGTTTACTGTTTTCATATTTTAGACCTCATGTCTTAGCTCTAAATTCTAGGACCTTTGGTGGTTCACACGTGTAATCCTAACACTTTGGGAGACTGAGGCGAGTGGATTGCTTAAGCTCAGGAGTTCAAGGGCAGCCTGACTAAGAGTGAGACCCTGTCTCTATTAAAAATAGGAAAAATTAGCTATGTGTGTGGCAGCTGCCTGTAGTCCTGCCTACTAGGGAGGCTAAGGCAAGAAGGTTACTCGAACGCAGGAGTTTGAGGTTGTTTGAGGTTGCTGTGAGCTATGATGCCACGGCACTAACTCTACCTAGGGCAACTCTGTCTCAAAAAAACAAAAACAAAACAAACAAAAAAAAACCCTGGAAAATTCTTGGGCCTTTCTTGAGTTTTGTCTTCTAAAACTCTTAAATTGGTCTTCAACATTGTCTGTTTTGTTATTTATTATTAGCATAGGAGAGGGTTGATTTACTTTCTATTTTGGCAGGTATGATTTTAATATCCAAGAATTGTTTTTGCTTTTGATTAGTTTTCATATTTTATGGATGTAATGTCTTTTCAAGTCTCTTTTACTATGTTGATTATTGTGTGTGAAGTTCCTTTATGTTTTTTGCATTATTTTAATTTTTCTGTATTAGTTCTGATTGTTCATCTTATTTTCTAGTTTTTACTGTAATATATCTTCAAATGTGGTGATTTTGGCGTATCCAGTCATATTTAAAAGTAATGGACCATTTGCTTTACATAGGTGGTTTGTATGGGTTTCTTAATAGGTGGTGTAGGTCTATTTCTAACTCTCATGGACTCTGTGCTTGAGGTTGGATCTTTCTGTATTGGGTTTCCCATAAGGGGGACAGTGGGCAGAGCAGACGATCCAGAAACCACATACTAGCCAAAAGCAGGAAGCATTCCCCTACGAGGAGCACAACAATAAAAAATTGGAGATATAATAATATATGTGCTTTCTTTTTAGCACATTAAGAAGCAAGATCCAGCAGAAGAAATAATTAATAACTATGATAATTTTCAAAGATTGATAAGTATTGACAGTATTTTGAGATACTTGTGGTAGTTCTAAAGTAATATGAGAAAAAAGATGTTATTTCTTTTGGTAATGAAGTCACATTAATCCACTACTGTGGGTGGTTGTCTACATTTATGTGGAGGAAACACTTAATTTCAATTAGGGAATGTAATTTTTTTTTTCCATCCAAGTTAGTATATTCCCTGCATTCTTTTTTCAGGCCCGATAACAACTCTTGTTTATAAAGCATTCTAAAATCTTTGATTAAAAAACCCATAAATTTGCCTGTTTAGCATGAAAGGCCTTCTGAATGATCTGCTCTTACTTACCTTTTTAGCCTGATCTCTTTCCCTCACAACCTGTGGTCATATATCTATTTGCTTTTTTGTACTACCTTATCCTTACAAGCTCTCCAGATGAATGGACTTGAGTTCATCCCAAAATTCTTCTGTATTCTTCCTTCTCTAACCTAGACTATGAGGTACTCCCAGCCTTTATTGTAGCCCTTAGTCTGATTTAGAGTCCTAGGTTATATTATAATTGCCTGTTTACTGACTTGTACTTTATAAGTTGACTCTTAAGAGTAGGTGTTTGTTTTGCTTATCTTTGTCAGTTTCAAGAACTTACCACTCCGTAGGCATATACAAACACATACATTGAAAAAATGAAAACGTATTTGTTGAGAGTCCTAGTATCTTCCTATAAACTTGTTCTCTTCAATCTAAATTGATGTTTTTCCTTTGCAAATCTAATTGTGTTATTATCAGAACCACTTTCAAACTAATTCTATACTCATTTTTTTTAGGCTAATTTTGTTTGCCTTCTGTACCTAACTCTCAATTCCTCCTCTCTATCCTGGCAAACAGTATCTTACATACTGTCTTACGCTATGGCAGTAGTTATAACTCTGGCTGCCTGTTAGTAACATCTGGGGATCTTATAAATCATGTTTATGCCTTGTCCACTTCTCTCCCCTAAAGTCAAGTATTGGTACTTAAAAGCTGCTTAGGTGATTTTATTGTGAAGCCATGATACAGATTGCTGGAGAAAACTATTACCTGGGTGGAAAATTTAAAATCATCTTGCGACTTTCTGATGGTAATGTGGCAATCTCAGGACATTAGCATGGATAGAAAACATGGGAAAGGAAAGACAAAACATCTTGGTGAAGACTTAACTCTTCTATTTGATTTTTTTGTAGATAGATTCTACATTGCATTTGTCTGTTTATTTATTAAAAAAACCAATACCAAAGGTTACATGTCATTTATTTCTATTTCCATAACATTTTTTGAAATGACAAAATTTTAGAGTGGAGAATACATTAATGGGGCAGAGGATGGGTAGGGGGTGTGTGGGTTATAAAAAGTTAACATGGAGGATATTTAGAGTGAAAATTATTCAGTATCTCATCTGTGGTTAGTGATACATGATAGTACACAGGTAATAAAATTGTTGTGATCCATATACAAATGTATACAAGTAGAACTGGGAAAATGCATAAAAAAGTGTTAAGTGAAAGGAAATTGAGGAGAAATGTTTTAAAAGGAAAACAAAAACCTATTTAAACGTGAGTAGCACTGTAGTGATTAGAGCCCAACTTTTGTTTAGAGACAATGGGGAGCATCCTTTTTTAGAAGTTTTTTTTTTTCCATTGTAGAAAATCTATTTCTGATGAACATCCTTTTCGGACCCCCTAAGTATCAAATTTGATTTCTTTCCAAAAACAGTTCTATGAAAGTAGGAAGAACAATGCCATCGGAGACTTAAGCCCTAGGTTTAAATGTAAACCTGTTAAGCTCTGGCTCGGCGCCTGTGGCTCAAGTGGCTAAGGCGCCAGCCACATACACCTAAGGTGGCAGGTTCGAATCCCCAGCCCGGGCCCACCAAACAACAATGATGGCTGCAACCAAAAAATGGCCAGGCGTTGTGGCGGGCGCCTGTGGTCCCAGCTACTTGGGAGGCTGAGGCAGGAGACTCGCTTGAGCCCAGGAGTTGGAGGTTGCTGTGAGCGTGATGCCATGGCACTCAACCCAGGGGGATAGCTTGAGGCTCCGTCTCAAAAAAAAAAAAAAAAAAAACCTGTTAAGCTCTGACATTAGCAGGTCACAAAATCATCTTATCCCTCTCCTTTATATAAATGGAGCTAATAACAGCCTTCTTCAAATGGCTGTTGTGAGGAGTAAGTGTAATCAGCTTTGTACATAGACAAATGCAAGAAATTGTTAGTTTTTCTCTAGAATTTATTTGTCCTTTCTCTTTTGTGTTTTTATTAAAGTTCCCTCCAGTTCACAGCACTCTACTTTTCTCAGAAAATGTTCTTAATTTATCTGCCTTTCCCCAAAGGTGCCTCCCCGGTCTAATTCCATACTGAATTTCTGTAATAAAAATTTCAGGAGTACATGTATGTATGAACTCAAGAGAGACTGTCTAAATAGCATACTCTAACCCAGTTGTCCTTTCTACTTCTGTAGGGGAAACCCAAGAAGAAGCTTATTGGCAGGAAGAACACGGTAACTGAATTTTAAAAGTTGAGAAATTCTTTCCATGTGCATAATATGTGACCATGCACAGACTAAGTATAATACTTTACATAACCATTTTCAGTTTGGCTCAGCTTGAATAGTAACATAAAAAAGTTTCCCTTTTAAAAAGATTCTGTGGCTACTTTTTACTAAGTTTGAGATTTACTTTATTATAACTATAGTTATATCATTTCAACCAATAATAATAATGTTGTCATTTGGCTGTGTGAGACTGTCCAGAGTGTTAATGAGGTTTCAAGGTTATTGTCATGTTCAAGTCAAATACGAGTTTGTGTTTTGGCCCTGGCATACCTGAGGCATACAACTGTGTGCCTTATGGGACTGAGCAGAACCTGCTTCCAGTTTGCCACAAAATACCTGAGGCTTTTTATCTGGGCAGAGTAGGAAAAGGTCATAG